ACTGGAACGGGTTGCCCAGAGGTGGTGGATGCACCATCCCTGGAGACATTTAAGGCCAGGCTGGATGTGGTTCTGGGCAACCTGATCTAGATGAAGACATCCCTGCTCATTGCAGGGGTGTTGGACTAAATGACCTTTAAAAGTCCCTCCCAAACTAAACTATTCATACAGAGGAGAGCCACGAGGATGATCAGGGGGCTGGAGCACCTCCCATATGAAGATAGGCTGAGAAAGTTGTGGTGAAAGTTCTCTTCTAACAGCCTGGAGAAGAGAAGGCTGCATGGAGACCTCATAGCAGCCTTCCAGTATCTGAAGGGGCCCTACAAGGATGCCCAAAGGGACCCTTCATCAGGGACTGTAGTGATAGGACACGGGCTAATGGGTTCAAACTTAGACAATGGAAGTTTAGGTTAGATGTAAGGAAGAAGTTCTTCACTGTAAGGATGGTGAGGCACTGGCACAGGCTGCCCAGAGAAGCTGTGGCTGCCCCATCCCTGCCAGTGTTCAAGGCCAGGTTGGATGGGGCTTGGAGTAACCTGGTCTAGTGTGAGGTGTTCCTGGGGTTGGAAATGGCTGATCTTAAGGTCCTTTCAAATCCTAACCACTCTGTGATTCTAAGATCATATCTGGATTTTATTGACAAGTATCTTTGGTGGTTTTGGTATAAGCCTGACAGTCTGACTCAATAGAGGAAGTGCAAAACTGCAATTTCAATTCCCCTTTTGGCTAATGTAATTTAAACAACTTCCTTCTGGGATTGCCTCAAACCTTTATAATGTACCAAATCATAGCATGTTGTGTTCTCATTAAAATTAGGATGGAGAATGCCACTGTGCCTTCAGCAACAAGCATGAAATCATGGAACAATCAGTCGAGAGTTGTACTGTCATTCCTGTGGCTGGCATCTTGCTGGAGCCATTGGAGCATCCAGACTATCAAAATGCTTAGGATGATGTGGAAAAAGGTCATTTGGAAAAGGCTGTCTGTCTTCTGTAGGTGCATGAGCCCCTCCAGCCTGCTCCTTACACTCTGGGGTATGTCCCCTTGGATAGAGCAGCGCTTGACATTAAAGTGTGGAATTGTGTCCCAGTGCAGGCAAGTCTGCCAGCAGTCACATCCCCTCCATAGGGCTGGAAAGACCATAACCTTAAAAAGAGCCTTTTCTGTTGGAGGAGGGGATCCAGCCAGTTTATTCAGCACAATTTAATAGGTGCAGCTGAGCTCAGTTCAGTTCCCAAAATGTTTGGCAGGACCATAGAAGGCTGTGGATCTAAACAGTGTGAAGGACCACCTATCTCCTGTAGGCACAGGTTACTCTTTTCAAGGGTAACAGGGAACTGGCAGCTGCTTCTCAGAAACCTGAGAGCCATATTCAACACTTCTATGGGGCTACCATGGTAACGGCATCCCCTGTTTCCTTTGCCACTTGTTGATTAACACCAAAAGACTATTTTTTTGCACTCAGATGGGTTTTTGGTGAAAGCGCAAGCAAAGATGAGTAACTACAGGTTGCATTCAGCTTGCATGCATGCATACATACATACTCTGAACTGGCTTTTCAATACCTCTTCCAAATAATTCTTTCCAGGGATTCCACAATTGGTGTCAGTGGTTTTTCTTCCTGATTGTTATCTGCTGCTTTTAACTCCTTTGTCCTCTGTTTCCTGCCAGCATGAACTGACTTGCTGGGCAGGTGTGGGGGAGGATCCAACACCCGACCCTTGCCGCCTGTTAATTGCAGCCTCATTGGCCTCTTAGCCATTCACTTTAGCTGGACTTCACATCAGTCTCTTACCTCTAGTTTTTGCTGTCTTAATTAGAAAGACTCTTGTTTCCACTTCTGTGTCTCCATTCATTGCACTTTAGAGCATTGAACATTGGTCTTGCTCATAAACTTTGTTTCTTTCCACTTCGCTAACCCCATTTGGGCAAGGGCCATGTTCTTGTCATCCTGCCTTTGTTCTCAGCCTCATCTGCCTGGGCAGGATCTTCTGATTGCTGCAAGGATGGAGCTGTCTTTGATTTTGTTTCCTGGTTTTAAAGCTACCTTGTAGGGCCTGTGCTCTGCTGCCATCTGAACCACTACCTTTGATGACTGTGTTGTATGTCTGTTTAATCAATAAACCATGACCTGCTGACCTGGATGTAGCAGCCTCACGTCCCTGTATATCTCTGGTAATTTCTGCAGTAATGGAGCATCCCTCTGCTAAGCAGTACTCTCTTTGCACTCATCCCAGTGCTTCAGGTTCACTCTCTGATAATGATACCAGGCAAATGGCTTCACTCCATGCATCGCCTAAGGTTTGCCTCTTCCTCCAGATGTGAGCAGGCATTATTTGAATGTTTGATCATTGTAGCAGTCCTTGTAAGGATTCTGCTAGGTAGATGGGAAATCTGCAAAGAAATCTGTTTCCATTATGTGAAAACTGTCTTTGTTTAATTATACTTGATTTTCTTCTCCCATCCTTCCTGATCAGGGTTGGCACTGCCTTCTCTGACAAGCACAACATGCTTAAATAACCTTTAAACTAAATCCCAAGATCAGTTTCTTTGTTGCTGGCATTATTGCCTTTCTCACTGCGCGTTCATTTTTGGGAATGTTTCAGGCCACGATTTGATCTGTCCCTGAAGAATATTTATCATGGAATAGCAGCATTGACTGGTGTGTTTGGAAGAATAGAAGCCCATAAGTAGTTATGGATTAAATGATTGTTATGTTTGTTTTTAAAGCACAGTAGCTTTCAGTATCTAAAATGTTGATGTTGTCAGCTTGGGGCTTTATTCCACACATCATGCTCTTGCATGACAGTTTCAGTCTTCTAAAGTCAAGGGATCAGGTGTCTACACAGGTACAGAAGAAACTGTTGAAAGGATCCAGTTGCAAGAGTCTGGAGATGCCTTCAACACTTCAGTTCAGGCACAGCCCTAACAGGTTATGGGTTAGCTCCTGCCATGGCCTGGAGGGATGACTGCAGAGGTGGAGAGATCTGCATGATCAGATAACGTTTCTGAGAAGGCAGGTAAATAGTTTGGTGATTAGGAGCTGGAGGCTTGGAATGCTGCCTGGAGTGCTTGGCTGAAGCCAGTCTGGAACAACTGGAGCCAGTGAACCAGGTGCTACTGCACAGCCACAGCCATGCACCCTTTCTTCAGGGTGAAGGTGAGTAGCATGTGGCCCAGGGTCCCTCACAGGGTGATCTGCAAGGGCAGGGAGGGTCCCCTGCTGAAATGTGCTCTGTGTCTCAGCAATAAAAAGATGCTGAAACTCAGTCCTTCAAGGCAAAAGTGTCCCTTGGTCAGCCATGTTGGGTGAAGGAGTGCTGCTGTCCTGGTCACCTTCCTCAGTTTAGAAATGGAATACTTCAAAATCCCTTATATGACTCTTTTTTCCGTGCTTCACCGTGCGGTATAAGTAATTCCTGTTCATTTCCAAAGGAAGTGCTCAGGTCTACACTTTGGAAGGAAATAATTTTTAAGGTAAAAATTCTGTTTTCTGAGGGAGAGGACTTGGCACAAAGAAATCGTCAATACAGGAGGCTTAGTGCTTGAGAAGGAAGGTTACAAACTTCATGCCAAAAATACTACATTTTAATGCTGACAAGAGCAGAAGTGAACTTCATTCTTTTGTTTCATGTGTTCATAGCTTGTATGCATCCAAGATTTAAAAAAGTAGCATTAGCTGACCAGATGTTTATGACATGGAAATTTGAAAATGCATGTGGCAGCTGTAGCCTAATTCAAACCCTGCTTGACGTTGCAGTAAGGGCAGTCCTTCCAGCTCAGGCTGCAGGTGCGTAGAAGTTACTTGTCTCAACATAAATAACAGTTTCTTACAATCATTCTTTTGTCTCTGAGCAGGGTGGTACAAAATGCTTCAGAGTAATTTCAAAGGTCCTGTGGTACTTACCAATCAGCATCCTGCCGATCTGTCTTTAGTCCTTAGTACATCTGATGTTTGGACACGGAAAGAACGGAGGTTTCATTCCGCTCCCCCAGGAAACCTCATTGTCAATAATAACAAAAGAAAGTAAACTTAAAAAAAAAATCAGAGAATTTGGAATTATATTCATACAGTTACAAGTTATATATTCTGCATCTTTATTGTTACGGTTCCCTTGGTTATCCGTATCAGAGATATGCATTACCCTGTGGTATAGATTTGATCTGGATCAAATATAGCCACGCAACTGCATTTCTGTTGAATTACCCAGAGAACAAGCAATATGCTAGCTGTAGAAGGACAGATGTGCAGTGCTGCATCTAGCCTTCCTGCACAAAAATAATCTCAGAACACAAAAGCCTAGCTGTTGTATTAGTAAAATGAAGCCTAAAATAATCTCAGTCTAGAAGACTGCAGTGATGCTGAAGACCCATGGACTCCCCTGACCTGAGGCAATGCAAGTGGTTCTGGGCTCTTTCAAGCTCTCTTGAGCATTCTCTCTGCACCATGTCTCCTTGAGCATGTAGTACTGTTTCAATTCCATAGACTGGGGGAGCTTTCTCCCACTGAGGGGCAGGACTGTGAAAATCTGTTTATGGGGACTTTGGCACTAAAGAAGTCATAGAATTGTAAAATCGTTTAGGCTGGAAAAGACTGTTAAGACCATTGAGTCCAACTGTAAACCCAGCACTTCCAAGTCCACCACTAAACCATGCCCCTGAGTACCACATCTACACATCTTTTAAATGGTCACCAGGGATGGTAACTCCACCACCTCCCTGGGCAGCCTGTTCTAATGTCTGACAATCTGTTTGATTTAATATTCGATCTCAACCTCCCCTAGCACAACTTGAGGCAGTTTCAGTGTGTGGACAAATAATCTGATTCTTAGTTCAGGAAATTATGTCCTGATGTGAAATTAGTCTTTCCATATCCCAGACTCTGCGCATTCTTTCCTTTTCGCCATAGATATTTGCTGGCTTTATCCCGTCTGCCGTAAGTATACAGTCACAACACTCGAAATTTATGTGACGTGGCTTATGTTAATATTCAGAAAAAAAACTATTAAGGCCAGAAAGAAAGGAACATTTTTGTTATTGTGATGGAGTCAGTTTTCTGAGCCTATAAAATGCCCATCAATGCACTGCATTTTTGGTTTCCAATTCCAATTCTAAATTGCTCCTGTTACTTGCACTGAATACTGTATCAGTGTGCAGCTTAGATACCAGTACTGTACCCAGATCAAAACAGTCCTTTAAAAATGTGTATATTTGTATTTCCCCACAGATCATGGATTTCTATGGGAAGTATGCAGCTGTCACTTTGACCATTTTATCTGTATTTCTGCATCTTCTTCATGCTTTCCCAGATGGAGAGTTTCTCATGCAGGGTAAGTTGCTTTCAGCATTCAGAAATCAGACAATTATTTGTAAAGAGTATTAATTAAACTTCCACATGTTTTATAAATGTGGTCATAAATCTTAACATTCAGTTGCATTTACTGACACTGAGATATGAAGGGATAATAAATCAACATAATTTTGCTATGGGTATACTTCCAATTTCTTCTCTAAACTTGATATCCTCAGGTCAAGACTCCCCCAAGCTGACTGTGTCCTCTTGTTGAAATGGGTGATCTTAATCCTGAAAACATTATAAAATAGAAACATTTTGGGGTTTTTTTTTGTACTCTTGAGATTTAAATGATAACGTAACATCACGTACAGTAGAACCATGGCTTCTCCTCATAATATGCAGAGTATTTTTCCTGCGTACATCCCAAGATATGGGATGTTGGTGGTGAAGCATTCTACAGAAGGGGTGTATTAGGAAGTTTTTAGAGGCATTTTGGAGGATGCAGGGGGGTTTCTTCAGCCTTAAACTGAATATAGAAAAACGCAAGCTACAGAAATCTTGGGATCACTGGGCATTTTTAAAACACTTGATAACAAAGCCTTGCCTGAACATAATGTCTAAGAAGCACTAAAAATCCTACTGCTATTTAACTAGCTAGCAGGAAGTTTTCTAGGGACAGCTAGTGCAGTACATATACAACAAAAAAAACTTCCAAAATTGCCAACAAAATTGAAAAGACAGCCAGAAAAGATACAATAATGCTTGTGCCTTACCTAGAAAGCCTCAATCTAGTTTTACAGCTGATGTGTGTTGCAGAGTTGAAAGACCCTAAAGGGGCAACACTGGTGTCTGTCCTTCTCTGTTCTGTGCACATCAAGCAGCAGAACATGCCTGTGCATCCTCTTATTGTCTGCTCTGTCCCTTTCTTTATGAAAGTTAAAATACATCTGGAGACCAAGTAAAAGTCTCTTCCATATGTTTTTATGGCAGGTTGTCCAGAGTGCAAGCTAGGAGAGAATAGATTCTTTTCCAAGCCAGGAGCGCCCATTTACCAGTGCACTGGGTGCTGTTTCTCCCGGGCCTATCCTACTCCAATGAGGTCCAAGAAGACCATGCTCGTTCCTAAGAACATTACATCGGAAGCAACGTGCTGTGTAGCAAAGGCATTTACTAAGGTGAGTGTGTGAATGAGACCTATTTAAGATTCTTTTAGGATGCAATCTTTAGTTGAAACAGTGAATAGAGAAGAATATGTTTTTGATGGAGGACATCGGAGAACTATTTGAGGGAAGCGCCCTTGGCATTTATGTTCTTCACACTTGGGTGCTTTTTTTCTAAAGAGGAAATTAAAGTGTCAACCAGTACTGAGTATTGTCAAGCAGTATTCGGATGGGATGTAGAAATCGGTGTGGTGCCACTGACTTCAGTGAAATTGCTTTGACTCATGACACCTGCAGTTCTGGTAACGGACTTGTCTCCTCATTTTTGACTCTTCTGGTTGTGCACCCTTCCCTTAAATGCTATGCAATGTGTATTTGATTTTAGTAAGTCATTTTCCTAGCTTCTTTCCTGCATAGGCAGGAGTTCTCTGGGAAGGTGGCCGGTCAATACTATCAATTAGATATATGGGAATGAGGGACCAAAACCATCTGTGCTCATTAGATTAATTGCGATTGTGTGTTAATAGCATAACCAAGAGGGAACTGTAAATGTGTCAAACTACTTTGAGCATTTAATACTCTCATCTCGAATGTTGTTTTAAAGAGAGATTCTGGTAAAGCTGATTATTTTGGGAGTGATTCACCTGCAGGTGAGGAAACCTTAAAGTTGATGTAATAAATGGTGACCTAGTTGAAACAAGCTAAGGTGTCTGTTCTATAGTGATCTGCACACACCGGGCTCAGTAAGTGTGTCAACTAGAGGCTCAGTTCAGTTACCCACTCACAGATTTGGGGCCATTTGAGATGCCCTGGAGTACTGAAGACATCTGTGTATGGCTGGCAGACACAGGACCCATGAAAGACCATCTCCAGTGACAGCTGGAGGCTTGTTGAGATCCCCTCCGAAATCTCAAGTGGCAATTGACAGCCGTGTGTGCGCAACTGAATGGAGCACTGGGTCTCCATGGGCTGTGAGGATAGTCCAAACACCTGACTCACCTACATACAGCAATAGCTGAACTCGCCCTGGCTCTCCATCTGAGGAAAGCACAGATCTTTATCTAGACCACAGGCATTAAACTTGCCCTGAGGCAGCAATTAGAATTTGGTTGAGATTAAAAATAAGGATGGCTCATAGTGTTTGTGGCCTCCATTTTTATAATCCCCATGTGGAATATTTTAAGGACACTTCCTGACTTTTCATAGATTCATACTTGACACTTTCTGAAAATCAGACACTATAAGAAGTGCCAAATGAAGGACACCAACCTATATTGCTATGCATGTCACTACTGAAAACCTCTTTACAGCTCCGAAAGCCACTGGTGAGGCAGCTTCACAGGTTGGTGTTCAGAGGCCATTCTAATACATGTAGCCCAAAAAGCCTGTGTAGCTCGTGGTTAAGAAGAAGGCTTCAGACACCTTTTACTTGAGAATACTGTTTCTACTGTGTAGCTAATGCTAATTATCTGTTATATGTGTGTGTTTTCTTTTTTCAAGATCACTCTTAAGGACAATGTGAAGATAGAGAACCATACAGATTGTCACTGCAGTACCTGCTACTATCATAAATCCTAAAGCCAGCCCCTGTGTTAATGATCAAGGACAACGGTGAATGGAATATTTGTTTTTGAGCTTTTATATCACCGCTGTGTAAAATGTTGTGTTTTCTGGTCAAGACACTGGGTAGACTTCTGAGTAAGATGGATGGCTGTTTTATTTCCTCTTTGCTTCTTCATGCATTTAAGTAAGTTCAATTATTTCCATTCGGGATGAAATACAGCACTTGCATGACAACCAAACGCTTGATCTATTTTTAAAATAAACTGTCAGTTAAATCATCGATGTTTCTTGAGGAAAAATGGTGTTTCAATAGTTTAAAGAAAAAAACATAGATACTGCTGCAGTTAATTTCTATTTTATTCTTTTTGTTTTAATGGGAGGGGGAAGGAGGGACCAATGAGGGATGGGGAAGTGGACAGAAGAAGAAGCAGTAATTGCTCCATATTCATTTAGTGATTAGATTTTCTGAAGACTTTTTCCAAGACATTTTGTTTCTCCAGTTTATCTTCCATTTTTCGTTACCTTATGGGCAGAAAATGTAACAGTGTATCCATCATCCATGCACAGCCTTCTGTCTTTCTGTGCTAGCTTTTGTTTTAATTTGAACTTAATCTCCTCCCATATAGATAGGTAAATGGATGTAGAATCAGACGTTATAAAGAATTGTACAGTTTCATATGACAATGGTGGAACAGAGAAGAGGTACAACAGTATGAGCTGATTAAGGTATGCCTGAGGAGCGTGGTGCAGGGCTTTAGTAATCCCCAAATGCATTGTGCTGGACCCAGATATGCAAACGGAAAATGTAGGGAATATGTTAGGTGACAAGAGGACCACAGAATACACAGTCTTAGTATCATAAACTGAGATTTTAGAGATGGTACTTGTTCAGTTGTGGATTCAGTCAGGGTCTCTGGAGGAACTGCTTGCTGGAGCTCACCCGTGGGAACTGAAGTGAATGGATTCCTTTGCTTTTCACTCTAATTTCTGAGGTAAGAACATCAGCCTTGCTACGATTGCCGGCTGCAAGGGTTCTAAATGTGCTGCCTCAAAAACCCTCTGGTGTATTTGTGGGGGATTTCCCTGCAGCAGATGCTGTGAGAGTAGCAATAAGAGCTTCTGGTCTTAGGGACGGGGAACCTTGCCAGGTGTGAGGTTGTGGGGGTGGCTGGTCTGGCCTGGGGCATGGCTGTGGTAGGTGTTTGCACCTCTGCTGGATGACTAAGTAGTTTAGACAGGCCTCCAGGGCTAAGCTTTGATGGGGCACTTGAGCAGCCCAAGACCCTGTGGTGTGGGATCTAAGGATAGTTTAAATCCACCATTCATCCACCCTTCTGTCTATTGGAGTGCAAATTCAGTGCCATTTTCTAAGAATACAATCATGGGGCTTTGAGGAGAAGAAAAGACTTCTCATAGGTAGGGGAGATGGGGTTCTTAGAGAAGCATTATTCAGCGTATATCCAGTAAAATTTATTAGCTCTATCTCCGTGTCTGATTCAGTCTCTTCCCCACTGGGAACCACTGATCTGGTCCAGTTCCATGTCCTAGCTGCACCATGCACTATGCCATTCCTGGGAGATGTTTTGCCTGAGTTGCTCTTGGAAAAATCCTCCAGTGGTGTACTGTGTGTGTACACAGTGGTGTACTGTGTGTGTACACAGTACTTCAGACTGTGCCAGGAGACTGGTCTTCTCCTTTCACTATTCTTACTTTTCAGGAAATTGTCAATCTTCTGGGAAATTTTTCCATAAAGTTTTATTTATGTCTCATTTGCTTTGACATTACTTTGGTCAAAAGGGAGGTAGTCCAGCAGCGTGGTCTTTAGGATGAGTTTAATAACACCAACAACATAGTTTGTTTCACAATGAGAAGTTTAGCATTTCTCATTTCGTATCATCACTCAAGACAGTACAGGAGCACACGTCAAGCAGCCACTGTAGCTGACTCCCAGCTCCAAGTTGTTGTACAGTTTTATTAAATGTGACTGATGCAAGTACTTTTGTGGGAGAGCCAGATCCTGCCTGGAATTTCTGGGCAATGAGAGAGGAGTGATTTGAAGCCTCAAGATGATTACCTTTGGGAATGGTATTGCATTTTCTTATAACTTTGACATGACTGAAAGGGAGAGCAGGGAAACACATTCTCTAAAATCTGCTTGTAGGGGAGATGTGCCTTTTCATCTTGCCAAACTTCTTGGATTACCTCTTACTCAAGTGAGCTCCTTTGGCAGTATCAAGTACTTGCTTGTCTATCTATGCCTCTGCTGCCCACAATGGCGAGTTGGTGACATGATAAACTTCTGTTTGCATCTTCTGAAACAACTTCCATTCTGTGCATTGTAAAACCATAGGAATAAAGACATAAGGGCATAGACTTGTTGGAGTGAGTCCAGAGGAGTTCACAAAGATGACCAAAGAACTGGAGCACCTCTCTGTTGAAGACAGGCTGACCTAGTGAAGGCTTTAGGGAGACCTTATAAGCAGCCTTCCAGGTGCCTACAAGAAAGCTGGAGAAGGACTTTTTTACAAGGGCATGTAGGGATAGGACAAGGGAGGAACCAGCTTAAACTGAAAGAAGGCAGATTTAGATTATATATTTGGAAAACATTCTTTACTGTGACGTTGCCTGGAGGAGTTGTGGCTGCCCCATCCCTGGCAGTTTTCAAGGCCAGGTTGCATGCAGCTTTGAGCAACCTCATCTAGTGTGAGGTGTCCCTGCCTATGGCAGGAGGGTTGGAACTGGATGATCCTAAGGTCCCTTCCAACCCTTCTGTGATTCTATGAATTACTGAAACATAGTAACCAGAATGAAACTCATGCTTTAAAGAAGCCATGAAATGCCATGTGTAATTCTAGGTTGCCTAGTCTTATTTTTCAGTGTCTTTTCCCTCTTGCTTGTATAAAAGCATTTAGTCATGAACTTCTCAACTCATGGATCCCTCTTCCCCCTGAAGGAGAGCTCAGACATCAAGAGGTCTCGAAGTGTATTGTGGGGGTAAGTAAGTGGAATCCACTTAATTAACAGGCTCCAAGTCAGAAGAAACAATAGGGGACAAGGAAAGTGGTAAATAAACACACAGATACACAAACCTAACAGTAGGTGATAAAGGAGACAATAAGAAAGAGTAAACCTCTGCTGACGCTGCTTGATGGGCCATCAGTGGTGGCCCTGCGGCATGTGGCAGAGGGGCAGCCCCAGATCTCTAACAAGAGTCAAGGCTCAAGGCTGCCCCGGCTGCGCTGGCGCCTGCGGGAAAGCGTGGGGGCTCGCCAGACTCGTGGTGGGGTATCAGAAGGGGCTCGTAGGACCATGAAAACATTGCTATAGGGTGTTTAGGGGAAAGTCCAAAGGTGCAGAAAGGCAGCGGTGATCATCAAAGAGAAGAGAGAGGGGTATTAAAGGGGGTTGGTCATGTGTGCAAGCTGCCAGTCAATGTGCTTGTCTGACTGAGCTTCTACTAAATCACTGCAGTCTGTCCTATCTTCATATTCAGTCTTTTACTTAACTTTTCTTCGTATTTTCTGTGTAATCTCACGTTGTATCCAATATGTGAGTGCTGCAAGGCCTGAGTGCTAGCAGCTGGAGAAGAAACTTATAGGTCTTGGTGCCAGCAACTAAACAGACCAGTGGGTGGGAGGGACATGTGTCATACCAACTGGAGGGACTGTAGGCCAGAAGGCTTGTAGGTCTATGTGTTTAGGTGTCAGAGGGGCCATGATGTGTGTTTATGTGGGAGAGGTCTACAACAGTACCTGTAAATACCTGACTTAATCCTGTGTGCATGTGTATGTGTGATTGTACATCAGATTTTAAGTTGGACTAGTTGGTGAACAGGAGGAAGCCTACGTCTGGCAGGACTTGAGGTCTGAGCCCATGCTGGATAAGGGGACCAGGATCTGGGCACATGTGGACTGAGAAGCTGTGCCTAATATTCAATGAATCCATGATTGTGAAGATGCTTGTGAGACAAGTGTGTAGTGCACACATCTGTTTTCTAGCAAATGTCAAGGTGGAGAGTAGCAGGAGACCTTCCTACCAGGTAAGGGAGTCCAGGTGTGGGTATTAGAGGGCTTTACAAGCTGGGTGGATATTCAAGGATCTGTGAATGTGACTGTGCTTATGAATCTAGAAAGTGAGGGCTAAGTTTTCATAGAGAATGTCAATCCCGATCAGTCAAAGAGAAGGAACAGGACTGGGCTTGAAAGTAGGAGTAAAAACCAAAGCCATAGTCAAAAGAGAGGTGGTAGTAAGCCAGTGAGCCCATAAACAGTCAGGGCTAGGAAAAACAATGCTACATGCTGTTAGGAAGCTAATACAGTTGACCATAATAAAGAATTAATGAGATATGAATGGGAATATATGCTGGAACACAAACTAAATTTTTATCTGTAGTGATTAAATACCAGATTTCCAGTAGGAATGGAAAACAAGAAGTACAATATAGTTTACTTACATTAGAAAATGGCTGAGATGGAGGCTAGGTTGGTCACATATATTGAAGAGGGCATGGAGAAATGGTATCACAAAATCAGAAGAGAGACTAATCTCTTGTTTACACAGATAAGTAATGTGCATCCTCTATATTTTAGGAACAGGGTATTTGTGTATGGAGATAAAATGAAGTCCTTGTCAGTGTGGTTTATAAGCAGTAATAAATCAGGCTGATACTGAGGATTAAAAATGCTGACGATCGAGCAGGCTGAAGATAAAAATGGTAAGTTTTTACTGTCACAGTGACCTATATAAACCTACATTGTCATAGTCCTAATAACAGATTCATGCTGTGAGCAGAGGGACTAGTGAAACTTGATTTCCTGACTATCTGTGCCCTATCTCACCAAAGATCCGTTTTGCCATGTCCTTAGTAAACCCCTCTACCTCCTCCCTGGGCCTCTCCATCAGGTGCCCTTCTGAACTGCTGCAAAGCCATCAGCCAGAGTCAGGGCCATGCCACTGTTTGTCCATCCAGCATGTTTTCTTAGGGCTGCTACTGACATCTTTTCACTCAGACCCCAATTCTTGTATTTTGCCATTAGCAGGTGTTGATTTTCACAAGACTGGTAAGGCCTTCCAAGGGCTGAGGTCATTACCCATCACCCAGAAATGCTCGAAACTAACCAAAGGGTTACAGAATCGCTGAGGAGCAGCTATGAGACAACGGTGTAGACATCCTCACTGCTTTGAGAAGCCAGGATAAAAATCCTTCCAGTGATTCATAGGTGTTGTGATTTCCAG